AGTACAGCATGGTATTTGGATCCACGTCACACTCTGTAGGGATCCAACTAGAATCAAGATGATACGCATCATTTTAGAAGGATGGGGAGAGATGGGTACATGGGGCCCCAGGATTTTCCTCTAGGAATGTTACAGATTCAAGTCTCACCATTCACTTTTTTCCCTTTTGAGTTGATCTTTGGTATGGGATGGTGGGAGATAAGGCTTTGATTTCTCTCTTCTGCATGTGGCTATCAAGTGTCCTCAGCACCATTTGTCAAAGAGACTGTCCTTTATCTATTATGGGCTCACTGGTCAAAGCTGAGCATGCAGCAAGCCCTTGGGGCTCACCCTGGCACTGGTCTGTACATTGCCTACTGTTTTAGCACCATAGTGTTTTAATTCCTATAGGTTTGTAATTCTTGGATTCTTTTTTTTTTTTTGCATTTGTTATAGTGAGTTACAGTTGACAGTAAAACGCATTGACACATCATATATAAATGGAGTATGACTTCACATCCTTCTTGCTGTACAGGATGTGAAACTACACCAGTCTGTGATCGTATGTGCATGTGGGGTGGTAATGTCTGACTTATTCCACCATCCTTCCCCCCTCCCACCCCCTCCCTCCACTCCCCTCTCTGTAACCCAAAGACCCTCCACCCCCCCTAGTGCCTCCCTTGTGATTAGCATCTGCATATCAGAGGACATTTGCTTATATATTGGTTGATGGGTTGTGTTTCTTCCTTTGTGAAGTGTCTCTTCAGTTCCTTTGCCCATTTCTTGGTTGGCTTTTGTGTGTGTGTGTGTGTGTGTGTGTGTGTGTGTGTGTGTGTTAAAGTTTTTTGAGTTCTTTATGGATTCTTGAGATCAATGCTCTGAGGTGCATGTGGTAAACACTTTCTCCCGTTCTGTAGGCTCTCTCCATGTGACTGATTGCTTCGTTTGCTGAAAGGAAGCTTTTTACTTTGAATTCATCTCATTTATTGATTCTTGATTTTTTTGTGTGTGTGTGCTTTAGGGGTCTTGTTAAGGAAGTCGGCTCCTAAGCCAACATGGTGGAGATTTGGGGCTAATTTCTTCTTCCATTGGGTTCAGGGTCTCTGCTCCAGTGCCAAAGTCCTTGATTCGCTTTGAGTTGAGTTTGGTGCAGGGTGAGAGGGAGGGATTTAATTTCACTTTGCTGCAGATGGATTTCCTGGTTTCCCAGCACCATTTGTTGAAGACATTCTCTGCTTCAATGTGTGTTTCTGGTGCCTTTGTCTAGTGTGAGAACTGTGTCTATGTGGGTTTCTCTGTGTCTTCTATCCTGTTTTGTTGGTCTGTCTGTATGTCTTCATGCCACAACCATGCCATTTTTGTTACTGTAGCGCTGTGGTATGATTCAGGGCTCGTATTGACCCTGTTCTTGCTAAGGGTTGCTTTTGCTGTTCAGGGCCTCTTATGTTTCCAAATGAATTTCATGACATCTTTTTCTATTTCTATGCAGAACACCATTGGTATTTTAATAGGAATTGCATTCAATATGTACAATGGTTTTGGCAGGAGGGCCATTGTGACGAGATTAATCCTGCCCACCCAAGAATGTGGGAGATGGCTCCATCTTCAAAGGCCTTCCTCAGTTTCTCTCCTTACTGTTCTGTTCTGTTTGACTTTCACCTCTTTGGTTGGATTAATTTGCCAATATTGTAGTTTTCTTTCTGAGGCTATTGTGATGAGGCTAGTTTTCCCAATTTCTCTTTCAGAGTATTCATAAGAGATAATGTGGGAACATATTGGATTTATGGGTCTTGATTTTATGTCATACCATTTTGCTGAATTCACTTATGAGTTCTAGAAGATTTCTGGTGGAATTCTTTTGGTATTCAAGATATAGAATCATGTTATCAGCAAATAGTGATGGTTTGAGTTCTTCTTTTCCTATTTGTATGCCTTTGATTTCCTTCTTCTGTCTAACTGCTCTGGCTAGTGTCTTAAGGATGATGTGGATTTGAAATGGTGAAAGAGGACATCCCTGTCTGGCTCTAGGTTTTAGAGGGAATGCTTTCAATTTTTCTCCATTTGGAATGATGCTGGCCATGGGTTTAGCATAGATGGCTCTAACAGAGTCGAGGTATGTTCCTACTATCCCTAGTTTTCCAAATGTTTTGAGCATGAATTTTGTTAAATGCTTTTTCTGCATCGATCAAGATAATCATAGGACTCTTATCTTCAGGTTCATTTATATGATAAATTATGTTTATGGATTTCCATGTGTTAAACCAACCTTGTATTCCTGGGAGAAACCCCACTTGATCATGGTGCACTATCTTTTAAACATGTTTCTGTATGCTGTCTGCCAGGATTTTTTAAAAATATTTTTCTTTAGTTGTACATAGACACAATAACTTTATTTTTTCTGTGGTGCTGAGGATCAAACTCAGTGCCTCACACATGGCAGGCGAGTGAGTGCTCTACCACTGGACCCCAGCCCCAGCCCCTATTTGCCAGAATTTTATTGAGAATTTTTGCATCTGTGACCATCAGGGATACTGGTGGGGAATTTTCTTCCTTCCATCTTTGTCTGGTTTTGGTATCGGGGTGATACTAGCCTCATAGAATGAGTTTGGAAGGGTTCCTACTTTTCTATTTCATAAAATAATTTGAGAAATTCAATGTGGGGAGGTCACATGACTCTAGTAATTGGTCAGTGTCTTCATGATTTTGCATATTACTGGAGTATAAACTTCCAAAACGGTTTCTGATCACCTTCTGTATTTCACTAGTGTCCACTATGATATTTCCTCTTGCATCACGAATTTTAGTAATTTGAATTTTCTCCCTCATTCTCTTTGTGGGTAATGGTTTCTCAATTTCATTTATTTTTTTCAAAGAACCAAATTTTTGTCTTGTCAATTTTTTTTTGTTTCTTTTCAAATTAACTGATTTCTTACAATTCCATAATGAGGTGTGGTGTCTGCCATATTTCCTTAGGGATAGTTGGCATCTGCCTTTTGTTGAATTGTCTTTTAATATCTTTCTTTCATTTAAAATAATTGTATTCAGGTGAAACTGATAAGAATACACGAGACATATTTAATGAACAGCTTGTTAGGTCTGCCACATACATACACCCACGGAACCGTCCCCACAATGAGGACGTGAAGACTAATTGAGTCTCGAAGGTTCCTGGAGCCCCTTGATCATTCCTCCCTTTCCCTCCTCCTCTGTCCGGAAATGACCCTGGACTGGAGTTGATTTTCAAAGACCGATCAGTCCATCAGAGCCCTGGTCTGCATGGTCGGTGACCCTGGGACAATCAGTTTGGTTTCTAGCCCTTGTTTGTTCTCCATAAAGTCAGAATTCCTCCTGTAGGACCAAGACCACTGGGAAAATTAGGATCAAGGCTTAGGAAGAAGCTAGAGCCACACCTGACTCTGCAGAGTAGGTTCTCAGTTCCTGGCAGCCGGTTTTCCTCACAACTCTGAGTCGGTGGTCCAGAGTACGGTTGGGGTCTGCAGCGCCACAGTGCCTTCTTGTCACCCAGGGTTTATACCCGCCGTCATTGAGCAGAATCCCAGCATTTTCAGGTTTTTTGGGGGGGTTTTGTTTTTAAATGAGATTCATTTCTCCTAATAGTGTCCATTTGAAAATCGGATCTAATGATATTTGAAATGGTGCAATGTTATTACAACCTTTCCTTGTTGCACAGCTTTTAATAACCACCAAAGGAAACCAGGTGTCCCTCAGGACAGTCACTAACTGCCCTCCCAGGCCCTGGTCACCAACTTCTGCTCTGTGACTCTTGGGTTTCCATATTCTGCGTACCTCATAAGAGTGGAGTATACAATCTGTGGTTTAAAAAATTTTATTGATTGTTTTTTTAAATACATGACAGCGGAATGCATTACAATTCTCATTACACACATACAGCACAATTTTTCATATCTCTGGTTGTATGTAAAGTATGTTGACACCAATTTGTGTCTTCATACGTGGACTTTGGATGATGTCCATCACATTCCACCATCCTTGCTAAGCCCCTGTCCCCTCCCCTCCCTCCCCTCTGCCCTATCTAGAGTCAGTCTATTCCTCCCGTGCTCCCCCTCCCTACCCCACTATGAATCAGCCTCCTTATATCAGAGAAAACATTCGGCATCTGTTTTTTTTTTTTTTTTGCAATTAGCTAACTTCACTTAGCATTATTTTCTATATACACAATGGAATTTTACTCAGCAATCTGTGATGTTTTTGTCTGATTTTTCTTAGCTGAATATTTTTGGGATTTATCCATATTGTTGCAGGTATCATTTCTCTTTATGGCAGAGTGATATTCTATCTATAAGTTATATATACACACACACACATACACATACACATACGTACATATGCTTGCATGTTTGTGTATATGGGTATATAATGTGCCTGTTCATTCACACATCCCCAGCCCCACTGCATTTGTGTATCCATTTTTTTTCTTTTCCTGTAGTTGCTGTGGATTGAACCCATGGCCTGGACCATGCTGGACAATATCTATTCTATTCTTAATGTGCATTTAGGGTTATGGCACCGTCTGGTTGATAGCCATGTTGTAGTCTTCTTTTTAAAAGAGTCTATTTTCAGACACTATAGGGAACAATGTGGCTCTAATAGAACTTCTTTAAAAGAAGTTTTCATAAAACAAGAAGAAAATAAAAGGAGACTGTAAAAGTCCGTGGATGTACCTAAAGACACCGATGGCAGATATCAAGTAAAACCACACACACGTCATTGTAGTCACACAGGCGACCTTGCCAGACAGAAAATCGGGTTCCCTAGCTGAAATCATTTCAGAAAGAAGTTTGTGTGGATACAGGGGTTTGTAAGCGAGAGTGGAGGAGCTGCTTTAGATGAGTCTTGTCACATCTGAGCTTTGTTCCTCCATTGGGCTCGCACAATGTTCAGGATCTGTGTGTCCGCCCTGAGCAGCACCAGGGGACTGAGCGTGCTGTAGCCGCTGGCCACCGCGTTGTGGATGCTCCCGAGCATGGGGTCCTTTCTCCTCATCCCGCTGATGAGCAGGGAGAGCGCAGAGTCTCACAGTCCAGGGCAGTGAAGCAGCCAAGCAGCTGCAGGACACTGTGAGTGGCCCTGTGCTTGGGGGAGGTCTGGGGGGACAGCCCAGAGCCGTGGAGGGACAGGCAGCGCTGCTGATGTCTGTGCAGGAGAGTGGCCATGTACCCACTGGACACGGCCATGAGGCCGAAGATGTCTCTGAGCGTTACCAGGAGCAGAAAAATGCCCCTGTACCTTGGCAGGAAGGAGCAGAGGCTGTTGACAAAGAGAAGACCAGGCTGCGTGGCATTGGGGGTGGCCACCGTGCAGAGCAGCTGGTCGCTGGTAATGGCCATGGTGAGGACCCACAGGAACAGACATGCCCCCAGGATGGGGTTTGCAGATTTGACTTTGAAGTTGGCCAGCGAGGAGCCACTGGGGCTGAGGGTGAGGGCCTGGCGCACACTCGGGACACAGGTGGTGCCGAGGGACAGTCCCCTCCTGACCTTGTGCAGGAAGACCAGCACTTTGCATTTGACGTCACCTGGAATGTCCTGCACTTCCCAGATGTCTGTGGATACCAAAGGGCCACAGTGAGGAGCAGGACGGTGTGTGTCAGAGCCAGGTGGGCCATGGGGAGGTCGATGAGCCTGGGCTTGTGCCCCGAGGAGGGCGGCCAGGTGCAGGCAGAGCAGACAGGTGTAGGCTGAGATCCCGGCCCCAGCCTGCAGGTGGAAGGCCCTTCTCGTGACCCTGAGTCCGGCATCTTGGTCCATCTTCATGGGCATGTTGAAGCAAATGACGAGTTTCTGCAGAGAGAACCAGAAGTGTTTGACAGCAGCGGAATTTTGTCACTATGTCACATTTTACAGTCACTAGAATCATCATGGACTAAAAAAATTCTTTAGAAGCAGGATAGCCTCTTATTTCCATTATCAATTTAAATTCAAGGGATGGCGTGTGGCTCGGGGGCAGAGTGCTGGTCCAGCCCGCAGGAAACCTGGTCCACCCCAACCCAGACCAAGGAGAAATGTCAATTAAAAATAATTAACTGATTTTAGCTTGTGCACCACTCCTCCTTCAGATCAGTGATTTTGTAGCAGCCCCTCACCCCAGGGAGGTGGCGATGCCTTCCCCTCTGTCTGGCGGACCTACTGCGTTTTCCTTTAGATTATAAATTCCACCACCTCCTTTTAATCCCTCCCTTCCCAGTTCCTAAGATGTGGTCCTGTTTGTCCTGGGAACGGCGTCTCTGAAACACGGCTGCTACAGGGTCATTGCCCAGGGAAAGCTGTAGGCCCCCAGGTTGGAGTTGGAGACGGATCCTCTAGGAGGACCACCCTCCTGCTCATCCCACTCTCCCTTTATAGAGTGCAGAATTGGGAGGAATCGTGTGCTCATGTGTCCTGCCCCTCCATAGCTTCCTCTAATCCAGTCACCATCACTCACCCTCAGGGTCAGCCATGTTGCCCCATGTGAGGAATTTCAAGTCCGTTTGCATCCTGAGTCAAAGGGGGGAAAGGTGGCATTTGTGCCCTGGCCCTTTTGGTGTGAACCAGATTGGTGAGAGTCAGTCCTGTGACGGGCGAAGCCAGCATCCTTGTGTTGGCGCTGGGATGATTCCTACCCCAAGGTGTGTGTGTGTTTTGTAAAGTAGGATCAGGAGATGTGGAAACAGGAGTAGTCTGTCGCTCACCCCTTGCTGACATTAGCTGGAGATCCAGCCCAGGGTCATTTGTAGAAAGCAACAAAGGGGACGTTTTTTGAGGAAAAGAACTGGTGCTGGACCCGGGGGTGCCTTACCACTGAGCTACATCCCCAACCCCCAACCCTTTTTATTTATTTTTTAATATGGGGACAGTTTCTCACTGAGGATCTTGGGACCTCACTAATTTCTTGAGGCTGGCCTTGAACTTGACATCCTCCTGCCTGAGACTCCCAAGTTCCTGGATCTGTGGTCACATGTTTGCCTGGCACAAGGAGAGTTTAGCCAACAGTTTACCTGTTTGCTTGCCTCTCCTTGGATGAAAGAAGAGGTCTTGCACACACTCTTTGTAAATGCAATAAAACTTTCAATTTCAAGGGAAATCAAGTATTTCAAAACTAAGCTCCAGGCACTGGTAACGGGACCAATGAAATTCACCCATCACATTCTAGTTGGCCTGTCCGTCTCCAAGGAGGAAAAGGGAATGTCTGCAATGAGCAAGGTGAAGTCCAGCTGCACGTCTTCCATTTAAATTGTTCCTGTTTGGAAGATGCTGGAACATTCCTGAGCTCAGAAACCTCTAGATGCATATTCACTCAGACCCCAAAGGACACCTGAGTGCTGGGAGCAGATCCATAAGCCATTGAGTGTCCTTCAGGGAATCTGCCCTCCTTTCTCAAGCTTTTGCCATCCTGCTTCCAATGCCTGTGTCCAGACGTTTGAGAACAAGATAGGAATGATCTCCACTATTGTGGTCTTATTGCCATTTATTTTCCTTTAAAATTACATGAATTCCTGTATTCTCTATAATTTGCCTTGATGAATGTGCAAATTATAAATTCTGTGATCCTTCAGTGACTGGACAGAAACTGTACTTGGACTATATTTTTATGAAGATCATTTTCATTTCCAAGCATCATTCATCAAGATCAGCATGACGAGAACACCAAAAAAGCTTTAGAAAATGAAATATGTCTCATGGAAGACAAAATAAGTTTCCTGTAGATCATTGGAAGCTGCTCTTCTTTGCCACAGAAACTACAGTGAAATTACAGTAAAGATCTGGTTTATTTCTAGAGGTTTCAGTAAAACTTAACGGAAGCAGAATGTCTTACTCTTTCAGAAATCACTACTTACGCAAAAATTCTTGTCTAAAATTCTCTGTGCTGCCTCACGGATTGGGCATTAGTAAAGAATAAAGCTGATGCATCAGCAGGGGGAGAGGGCAAGGACTCTAGGGATGTTTAGGAACCGAGGAACCATGTGTGTGAACATAGAAGGACGTGAACTAGAGCCAGATCAGGGGCCTGAGGTTCTCTATAATAATATCACTTTGCCCAGTTATATAATTTCTAACTTTACCACGAATTTGAATTTATTCTAGTATTTTGAATGTAATTTTTAGTTATAGATGGACATAAAACCTTTATTTTTATGTGGTGCTGGGGCTGAACCTAGTGCCTCACATGTGCCAGGCGAGTGCCCTGCCCCTAGCCCCTGCCCCTTCTTCTAGTATTTTAAAATCTCCTTTCATCCCTGGGATATATTTTTTTTAAATTCAGTGAATCTACATGAAAGAATTGCCTTTTCTGGAAAACTCTGGGGTTAAACTCTGTCTTTCTCCATGGTGTGCCTTAGTAAAGACTGTAAAGCTAAACGACAGCTAGTGAACCTGACAACAGGTGTCAAGGGACAGCRTTTCCAACACGAGCAGGTCCCAACTGTCACCAGATGAATGTCCCTGGCTCTGTGTGCTCACACCACTACAGAGAGATCAGCTGTGAAAACATTGTATATTTTATTTGGTAACAAATTAAAATTTATTCTATTTGTCTATCTCTGTGCACCCTTAGGGATTTCCCTTTTTAATTTTGTGAAGTATTTTAATTRGTAACAAACTGTTAAATCACCCCTCTTTTTACTTTTTGGGGTATTATTTTTACTGATTGTTTTTAGTTATTTATAACATCAGGATACATTTTGACAGAATCTCCAGAGCATGAAACACAGTTTGTTGTAATTCAGTCCCTGCACTCCCCTCTCGCCTCCCTTCCTTAACTCTACAGATCCCTCTGCAATTTATTTATAGTTTTTGTAAATATGTATTGTTTAGCTGCAGGTGGACAGTCCCTTTGTTTTATTTTTATGTGGTGCTAAGAATGGGACCTGTGCCTCACCCGTGCTAGGCGAGTGCTCTGCCCCTGAGCCCCAGCCCCAGCCCTCTTGTCTTTTTGAGGACATTTTCAAAAGGCATCAACATTGTCTAAGTTAAAAAATAACAACTATGTGATAGTGAAGAAGAAATAATTAATCATTCACCTGTAGTGAAATTGGGTACATTTAAAAAAATTAAATTTCATCAATTCTTGGTAAGTTTCCATTCTGACTAATATTAGATAGGATTTTTAGATCGTGTGTGTCTGATCTTATGAATTCAAATGATAGGTTTCAAAACATTTTAAGTCCTAGAGATTACTGTAGAGCTATCAATCTCCTGAATTATTACTCCTCGTGCACACTTATACTAATTTACTCATGAACAATAATACTGGTAATAATCTAAATCATACTAATGCTATGAAGTAAAGCTGACGCCATAGCATTTCAAGTAAATGCAATCCTGTGAGTGCCTGGGTTGCAGTTATAATGTGGCAACAGTCGGACTCCAAAATGCCTTCCTGCGGCACCTCCCTGCCTCCCCTGCCTCTGGACCATTCAGACGTGGAGCTGAGCCTCTAGGAGGAGGTTATATGGGACCCAGGGCCTGAGCTCACCCCCCAGTGGACTGGTGACCTTGGTGTATGTATCTATCTCACGTTTTCTTTATTTATTCCTCTGTTGAAGGCCACCTATGCTGGTTTCATACTTAGCTATTGTGACTTGAGCTTCTATAAACATGGATGTGGCTGTGTCACTAAAGTAAGGTGACTTGAAGTTCTGTAGGTGTATACCAAAGCATGGTGTAAGTGGCTCAAATGGGGCTTCCGTTCTCCTTTTTCTAAAGAATCTGCACACTGCTTTCCATACTGGCTGCACCAGTTTGCACTCCCACCAGCAATGTGTGAATGAATCTCTTTCTGCAATCCTCCTCAACCTTTACTGTCACTTAGATTCTTGATAATTGCCACACTGAACGGAGTGACATGAAATCTCAGTGTGGTTTCAGGTTTTTATTTTTGGTGGGGGCGGGTATTGGGGATTGAACTGGGAGGCACTTGACCACTGAGCCCCATCCCCAGCCCTATTTTATGTTTTATTTAGAGACAGGGTCTCACTGAGCTGCTTAGATCCTCACTGTTGCTGAGGCTGGCTTTGAACTCGCATCCTCCTGCCTTGGCCTCCAGAACCACTTGGATCACAGGTGTGCACACTGCACGCAGCCTAACTGTGGTCTTAATTTGCATTTCTCTGATTGCTAGATGTTGAACCTTTTCTCATATATTTGTTGACTGTTCCTTTTACTTTTCTGGGAAGTGCATGTTCAGTTCCTTGGCCCATTTATTGAGTGTGTGTGTGTGTGTGTGTGTGTGTGTTAAGTTTTTGAGTTCTTGGCATATCCTGGAAATTGATGCTCTATCTAAAGATCAGGTGCCAAGATTTTCTCCCATTTTTAGGCTCTCTCTTCATGTTCGTGATTGTTTCTTTTGCTTTGAAGATTTTTAGTTTTATTTCATCCCACTTATAGATTCTGGACTGTATCCTTGAACTTTAGGAGTCTTGTTGAGGAAGATGGTCTCTAAGCTGAGATGATGGAGAGCTGGGCCTACATTTCCTTCTAGAAGGAGCAGGGTCTCTGGTCTGCTGCCCACATTCTTGATCCACGTTGAGTTTGGTTTCTGTGCCAGGTGAGAGTTAGGGGTTCAGTTTCATTTGCTACATATGACTTTCTATTGTTCCTAAAACCATTTCCTGAAGAGGCTATATTTTCTCCAATGTCTGTTTCTGGCGTCTCTGTCTAGTATAACTGCACTTCCATGGGTTTGTTTCTGTGCCTTCTAACCTGTTCCTCGGTCTGCATGTCTGCTCTTGTGCCAATACCACGCTCTCTTGGTCACCATAGCTCTGTAGGATGATTTAAGGAAC